GCGCAATTGGAGGAGAAAATTCATAGAAATAACAAAATATTCACAACAACTCCATATAGTCACATTGCAATTTTATATGAATTACGGTAGATGATAAATAGTATGAACATAGACTTATATTTAACTCTTCGAAATCCCGTCATTTACAATTATGTAAATTTTTATATATAATTTCCTAGTGACTACAGATCTTGATCAAAATTTTGGAAATACATTAAAAAATGTATGTGGGTTTAAATTTGTGAATGATAACAAAGTTAACTATTGCAAGAATTAAACAGGTATATTAATAGTGTATCATTTGACATTAACAACTTCCTGATGCACTGCCATGTAACATTATTCTGGTCACATAACTGAAATGCAGCAAGCAATCACTAAAGTTTACAAGGAATTCTGTATTTTAAAGTAGTTTGAGATAGTGAACGAAAAGTGTTAAAATAACAAAACTGACTCATTTTAAGAAAAAATAATTGATGGGAACCTGAAATTTTAAGCAAATATGTTACTAACTCTCTTTAAAGAAAAAATATGTCAACAGTTCATATTTGTAACAAAATTAGGCTATATTTGAATGTTCTATGTGTAGATAAGTGCATGATAAAATGGCGCACTCTAAGATAATAATGGTCAAAAACAACTTGACCAATAAATGATTGAAAGAAACTCACTAAAACTCCTGAGTGTCAGTGATATCAAATGGCCTTACATCCAATGAAAGTCTATTTTAAATCTTTTTTATAAATTTCCATAAGCAAAATTTATGCCTTCATTATAGACAAACAAGATCGTTAGTAAAACAACCACTTGATTTCAAAATAGATGTGAAGTTTTCCAGAACTGGTTCTGTGAAGTTTTCATTTTTAACCAGACAACCCCACAACACAAGCGCCCAGTGAATACATTCCCAACTATCATTTCTTGGCAAACCAACTGTGAATATTAGCTTTAATCGCTGGCCATAACATTTGGAGATTTCGTTTATACCACTCTCTGTTGTAGTCTTTCAGTTCCTGATGACGGCAATTCAAAAAATCTCTATAGAATTCAGCCATTTCTTCTGCAGTTAAAACGTGTTTGGTTCCATCTTCATCAACTAACTTATCACCGGATCCATCCAATTTACTTTCAATAAAGATTTCTTTGGCCTGCAAAAAAAAAGATCCAAGCCATCTCAAGTTGACATTTGAATTTATAATGAATTGAATAATGATACCGTTGTAAGAGAATATCATGATATATGTGTAAATGAAAACTTGAAACTTTCATTAAAGTGCAGATTGAGACTTGTTTCCAATTTTACTCTAGATATATCCCGATATCAATAATTCTGTTATCTGTATATAGTCTTACTTTGATGAATGCTGCATTGTGTTCAGTCCAAAACAGATGATTAAACTTGTCGGTTTCTTCTCGCATCAGTCTGTATTCTTTTTTGACTTTACTTTCATTTTCTGGAATGCCATATTTCACTGTTCGGATGTTAGACAGCTTATCAGGGGGTCCTATCCAATTATTCTGTACCTGTGAGGGCGCACTCCTGTGGAAATGGCATTTACTCGTAGTCTGGAATTACAAGATTAATAAGTCAGGTTCCAGTCAAAGAACTACATATGTTTTGGAACTTAGAAGCACCAAAGTTGCTTCACACAGTGTTCAATATGGTTCCATGTGATGTACACAACACATATAAAGTACATTATGTATTACTGTAAAATACTTTATTTCTACTGGAATAAATTTTCACTGAAAAAGCTTTTTGATTGTTTCGCATGGAATTTATTTTCACTGATTATTGACGAGTTGAATATAAAATATAGGAAAACAGGCATATTCACTAGATTCTATTTATACTGAATCATTCCTTCAGTGAAAATAACAAAAGTTTTCAAAAAGTCTTTACTGCAAAAAATCTAGCTACAATTGATTGGTATAGTCAGTCAGTTTTCTCAAATGAAAGCAAAAACAATGCAATAATGATAAATTGCATAATGTATTCAAGATATGTGCAATGGTGGATATTTAGAGTTATAACAAAATTACAACATACATCGGTTTTCTGACTTTACAGTGAAAGACAGGAAGCTGTACCTTATTTAAAAAAAAAAAAATTTAACAGTAATTTTGATTTATAAAAATTCTTCCCAACACTGTAGTATATCACATCACGGTAAATATATAAATTTACCTCACACATAATACTGAACTACCAACTTTAATTTAAATTTCAAACAGGCCAATCAACAAGTATTACACAATGACAGCATTTGAAAATGTTCCAATCAAGCTATTATAAAATAAGGGTAGGCGACTTTCATAAACATGTACCACGGTGTATGCAATGAAGATTTTATGAGAAGTGATCTCTCGTGATTTGTGAACATTTGAAAGCAATCCCATTTCGTACTTGTCAATGGAGTGTAATTCTTACCAACATCAATTATAATAACAATAACTTTATTACTATATTATTGTATTGTATGTGTAGTTTATTGTAGTTTATTTTAAAATAAGCTTTAATACAGCAATTACCAAAACTGAAATGTCAGATTTCATTAAGGATGTAAAGCATTATTCTATTCTATTCTAATCTGTTATATTCTATAAGTAGCATCTGAGGGTACTGTATAGTACAGAAAAAATATAATTACACTGCACAGACAAAAACAATAATACATAATGTGAAACGATTAACGAGAAAACCTGTGTTCTTATTTAATTTTTTATGTTGTATTATTAAAATATTTGGCTAATGCAATACTATTACATATTGTTTAAAGTTGTTTAGTCTTTCGAATTCCTTTTTTCTGGTTTGTTTTGATATCAAACTCTTTAAATAAGAATTCCTTTTTTTCCTTATATAGTTCACAATCTAGAATGAAGTGAATTTCATTTTCGACTACTTGCATTTTTTACAAAGTTGTTTTTTGAGTGGTTTTCTTCTTCTACCTATATTTGATGTTGTAGTATTTTTCCATTGCGAATTTGTATTCACATGTGACCTTCATCACATATCACATCCTTGCATACCTCATCTAATCCACGGTTTTTTCTAGTAACTGTGTCTACCTCCAATGGTATATTCCATCAGCCACTAGAACTCACATTTCAGTTTGAATTGTGAAATATTTATGGAGGAAATGGGTTTGTTTTCATTAAATATTTAAGATATCTTTATACACTGAATTGGGAGTGTATCTCCAATAGAAGTGAAGATTTAACCCAA